AATAACTTTGGGATTAAGATGCATCCATATATCTTAGTAAATACAAGAATTAAAGTTGAAGATAGATTGTCAAAGTAAAATGTGGATGACCACCAATGGACCAAATTGATATAGCCAATCATGTTTCAAAAGATTCAAATTAGTAAACATAATTAGCAGATTAAACAATCCTAATCAAACCCCAAATCAACACCAGAATCACACATACAACCCAAGACAGTTAAAGAAAAAAAAATCAAATCTCTTTAACCAATTGTAACTTAATATCACAGAAAAGTTCTTCCTGGAGATTTTAGCACAAGCAAATAAACTAGATGTAAACAAACTAGCCATGCATCTATTAGCCTAAAATACTCTTTCTGCTTAATACAAAATCATCTTATTTGCTCATCTTATTTGCTTAATACAAAAGTAGGAGATCACCACACATTAGATACAGAAACAGCAGTTCAGTTTTGCATGGCAGCACTCCAGATCAGGACCTAATTAAAACCAAACTTCTAGTCTAGTGCAAAATTCACATCTGGAATATTAAATCTTACCCCATCTTGAGTTCTTTCAAATCCATACGGCTGGCTGTCATGTAAACCAAAATTCTGGTCAATGTTATGAAATAAAGATTAAGATACACGCACAGTAACAGATAGTCAGATACACAATACCAACTTCACTAAAAGGAGATATTCACCAGCACTTTTCTTTTGCTGCTCCTTTTTCTTCTTTTGCTGCTCATACCTGTACTTGCTGTAGGATATTTCAAATTAATCAGCACAAACCTAGAAAATACAACTAGTAATAAAATTTAGCCTTACATGTTTCATTAAGAATAATCAAACAATATTGACTCGAGAAAAGTGAATATTTTGAAATGTTAATATTTTGTAGTGTGAAATAGTTCATATCTCCATTGATGACTATAATGACCCAGAGAAACACAAGAACAATAGAAACTGTTCTTAGAATATAAGGTCAACAGAACTCCATTACACCTATTTAAAAACAGAGGTTAAAAACTTTCACAATGGAATGAACAATTGATTCGAAACAACAGATACTGAAAAAGGGGAATAACTAACAGAAAATATGTATAAACACAGTTTGTTCTAACGTTTTTGAGCTACAATGGCCAGGAAAGGGTTAAATCTCACATAAATGAAAGCTGTTACCTCAGCCATAAAAATTTAAAAAAAAAAAGGATGAAAAAGTTATATCTTACTCATAATCCATAATTCGTACAACTGGAGGATCTGCATCAGGAGACAATATGACCTACAAAAAATTTCACAGAACAATGCCTGGTTAATGATTACATTGGCATTGTACTATAATCTACATGCAGCTATAAAACCGGTAATCACATCCTACTAACAAAAAAGTTCTGTGTTGAACAAGATTAGTAATCTCCATGCTCTCAATCAGATAAGAATTTTAAGGTTGCAGAGATTATTCATCATACCATGAGGTACTTTGTGACCGAAGATTCTCATGCTTCAATCGACATATGTGGAGGTTTAAGAGGGCCTAAACATCAAATATTAATGACAAGAACAAAAGATGCCCAATAGTTGCTTCAAAACTACTTGGTCTTTCTCTTTTGGTGAAAGGTTATGGATAGAGAATTGGCATCACCATTTTTATACACATACCAATTGAAGATAATGAACTTAAGAATAATATTACATCTGAAATGACTGGTTCAAAGGCTTTTGACTGGAATCTTAAAACCAAAATTTTAATTTCAATTTCAATTTCAGTTCTGGGCATCAGGTATCATAGCAAGAGAAGCACACATAAATGGAGGTACATTGGTAAATGAAAATTTTTAACAGGCAAGAATTTGCACTTGCAAGAGGTCACATGTTAAGATTGTCTAGTATGTACCACTGAACTTCAAGGTTTACACTTTTCACTTGGTGGTCATGCATAACCAAAGCTAACAGTAAAAAAGCACTTAAAAATAGAAAAAGAAATGGAGCAAGAAATGTCAAAGTTCCGGCATTCAGATTAACAATATAGAGATCCTTTTGGCCCATCTCCCCATGTTAAATTTGAAGAACAATAAAGGCCATTTAGACATTAATAACAGAAGAAATAAAGAAGATCATATAGACAGTACCCAATTTAAGAACATACCAAGTCAAGTTCTGCATCTTCAGCCATTTGAAGTGCCACACTTTTTGAAACTATTCCCACCTACAAAGCACAAGCAGCAGTATCCAGTTTTTATGCTCATAGCACAAGAAACCACATACAACCACACACCAAAAGACACAGAGAAAGGGAAAGTCCGGGAAAACAGTTAAGCAGAATCAGTCTACCAGCTGTCCATGGACCATCTTGTCACATTTGAACCACATTGTCCACCATTTAGTCCAAGCGTAGAACAAAGTACCACCATATTATGCGAGGTGTGCCTGAATCCTAACAACATGGTCTATGGAAATTAAACTGGTAGACATGGTCTGCCTAAACATTTTTCCTACTTTCAGAGAGGTTCTAGAAATTAAGAGAGTAAAGCAGCTAACCATGTTTTGCTGTTCATCAATAAGCCTTACTTGATCAGACCTATTTCAAACCACCGCATCAAACTATGAATCAATAACAATTCAAACAGAGAAATAAGCAAACTATAGCTGCAACAATTTAGTAACTCACAAAACCCAAAACTGCTATGATAAAAATTTCAACTTTTTGCCAGAATTAGTTCAAGAACTCGAGCCTACTAACTAAACTCACACTATAAGCTAAAAAATCAAAACCCCACAACAATAAACAGAAATTTATACCCAATGGAGGAGATATCAAGAGCTTGATCTTCCCCAACTGGAGGCGGGGACCTCCTGTAATACCCTCCGCCCCCGCCGCCGGAGCGGGCAGAAATGGAGGTGATGCGGGATGCGAGGGAAACGGGCATAGTGGTAGCGGAAGTGATAGGGTGGTGGTGAAGTAGGCGGAGGCCAAAGAAGTAGGAACTGGGGAAAAAGGTACTTCGGGTTTTGTAAAGACTGGGTCTCATGGGGAATGTGCTGGTGAGACCAGCCATTGGGGAGGAAGAGACGGAGGCACGGGGGGCTTGGGATGTTGCTGGCAGGTGATCGAATGCTCGGATGTTTTGGGAGGGGGAGTTAAACACTGGAGCTTCTTATCCATAATTTTTCAACTTTTCTTGAGTTGTGTCTATGTCACCACTCGCCCAAGCCTGTGTTGGCTAATGCTAATTTTGGTTCATTCTATTGGCTATTGCTCGTGTTAGTTAATTTGAAATCTAGTACTATTGAAATTCTTCCAAGTCCCAACTCCAAGGCTTGGAGATGGGATGACAAAAAATCTTTTCCTTGTTTGTTTTCTCTCCGCTCAATAAAAGTTTGATTGAATTTTCCATCTCTCTTCTTGTATCACTTTTTTTCTGTCATGTACCATAATAAATTTTTCGAGTTATTTTAAAGTGTATATAGATAAAAAAATTAATCGATAAATTTTTTGAGTTATTTTAAAGTGTGTATACATAAAAAAAAAAAATGATCGATCAACTTAAAATATATAAATATAAGTGTTACGTGTATAGTAATAAGAATTCATTAGAATTAATAATCAATTCACTTTTTAGCGTAAACAAGAGAAATTAATCAGCCCAATTATCCTCTTATCATGTATTATTTCTAAATAGACCCCCATATCAATTTCGCCGTTAATATGTGAATATGATGAAATTCTTTGGGCAAAAAGTGAATAAGTGAAATTAAGGGGTCCTTAGATAAGAATAACAATGAACAAATAATATCGCTAATGAGCTGTTTTTGGAGCCGACAAATACAGTGTTGTTAGATGCGGATTAGACCAGTCGATCCAACCATGAACCATTCCTCCTTTTAAGTTGATTAATAGCACAAAACTGCTTTAGTTAAAAATCAGTGAAAATAGTCAAAAATCAGCCAAATTAGTGATCCAATTCAATTGCTTGACTCAGATTCTCTAACTTTTCTTTCTTATTTTTTCCAATTATAATTTGAGTTACCTAAATTATAAAACTTTCCTTTATTAATAGAAATAAAAAAACATCATCCACTTAGTATAAATGCCAAAATCATTCACATGCCTAAATAATCTCTAAATTAAGAAATTTTTATCCCTATCATCTTGTCAATTTATTATCAGTAATTCCAACTTGCATTAGAAAAACCATATTCGGAATAAAAAGATCTCGAATTAGGTTTCATTTGTTTTTATTTTTAAGTAGTTTTAGAGAATGGACATATTTCATACATGAATTCACGCTTTTATATACTCATAATTTTTAGGTGTATATTTGATTGCAAGCGTAATATTTTTGTCACATTTTGTATAGTTGGCCAAAATGTAACTAAGAACGTAATTTTAATATATTTAAAACTTATAAAAATATAAATAATTATAGTATCATACTGACAGCAGCAAGTTTTTTAGAACAGTCTTGATCGATCTGCTCAATCTACCTAGTAGTTTAGCCGAGCTGCTATCCGATCTGAGGTTAACAACACTGGAAGAAAAAAAACAGATTATATCTGTAAATTGCAGATAATTGGAAGTCATTGACTGCTAAAGCCCACAGGGTATCTTCTCAAGAAAAATGGTACCAACCACTTCAACACTCGATGAGCCCAAGCAATGTAAGATCGATATGTGGTGTCCACTCACTAAATTTGGATCCATAACTCTCTATTCGTTATGAAGTTTGTCCGCAGAAGAAAGTTATCAAACGCAAAATAGGCCTCCTCAAGCGAACGCTAAGGACTTCAGCGTGGAGATTAACTTTAGAAAGCTGATAAGGATGGGAGAATATAATATAATGTTTGTCAACTTATTTTACATGATTGAGCCGACATTATTATGTGTTATCCAATCAATATGTTGGACTGAAGAATGGTCACACTATCACTTATCTATCGTTTGACAATGAAAGTATCTCATCAACTTATAGATTAACTTGCTGGTTCTTCATGTTTGTGCAGGTTGTTTTTTGGTCGAAAGATTGTTTTTTTAACATCGAGGTTTCGTTTGTCAGTTCCAGGCGACTCTCCAGTCTTCTTTTGAGATAGAGTTGAATCGATTTTGCACTTTCTGCATGAAGATTAATTGCAGCTACGTGTAACAAAAACCTCCTATAATCAGACACCTCATCAAAACTCTGAGATCATTACCTCTGTAGCACCTCCCCCACATCGCCTCCCCCCACCGTCTGAATTGTTATGATAAAGCCAAGAAAACTTCACCTCTAATGCTCCAACATGTTAAAACTTCGCAACTCATCAACGACCCCATTTCTACCCACTCAAATATCCAAACATTAATCCAGTAAAATCCCACGTTACATCAGGTCTCTTCTGTAAAAATGTTCACTATTCCCGCCGCTAGAATCATCTGACATTTGTCTTGATTCAATGGCTCTTCTTGAAACATGAGCAAGATTCAAAAATCAACCGATTAGGCCTAGATCAGCCTAGAATATTCTAAGCTTCTCCTAGTGCTTATATAACCAGGAAACCTTACTTGTTCGACCAAAATACAGGACTTTCTGAGCACCCCTTTTCATTTCCCCGTGCCAAGAAACCATAGTAGTAAACGCTTCTTTTCTTTCTTGAGTACTTTTTTCTGTTTTAAGAATATCTGTTCAATGGCGACCAAGGAAGGCAAGGCTATAGGTATAGACCTTGGAACAACCTATAGCTGTGTTGGGGTGTGGTTAAACGACCGCGTTGAGATCATAACCAATGATCAAGGCAACAGAACCACGCCTTCATATGTGGCTTTCACGGACACTGAACGTCTGATTGGTGATGCAGCTAAGAACCAAGTGGCAATGAATCCACACAACACTGTTTTTGACGCCAAAAGGCTGATCGGGAGGCGATATTCGGACCCTTCTGTTCAAGCTGACATGAAATTGTGGCCTTTTAGAGTTGTTCCTGGTCCAGGTGACAAGCCTCTGATTGTTGTCACCTATAAAGGCGAGGAAAAGCGATTTGCACCAGAGGAGATTTCTTCAATGGTGTTGACAAAGATGAGGGAGATTGCTGAATCTTTCTTGGGTCATAAGGTGAATAATGCTGTTGTTACTGTCCCTGCTTATTTCAATGATTCTCAAAGGCAAGCTACAAAAGATGCTGGTTCGATTGCGGGTTTGAATGTGATGAGGATTATTAATGAGCCAACTGCAGCTGCTATAGCTTATGGTTTGGATAAGAAGCATCAAAAAAGAGGTGAGCAGAATGTTCTTGTTTTTGATCTTGGTGGTGGAACTTTTGACGTTTCTTTGTTGACTATAGAAGAAGGGATATTTGAAGTGAAAGCCACTGCTGGTGATACTCACTTGGGTGGTGAAGATTTTGATAATAGGCTTGTCAATCATTTTGTTTCCGAGTTTAGGAGGAAGCATAAGAAGGATATTAGTGGAAATGCAAGGGCGCTGAGGCGGCTAAGGACGGCTTGTGAGAGGGCAAAGAGAACCCTTTCATCCACTACACAAACTACGATTGAGGTTGATTCTCTGTATGAAGGTATAGACTTCTATGCAACTATTACAAGGGCGAGGTTTGAGGAGCTTTGCATGGATTTGTTCTTGAAATGTATGGAACCTGTGGAGAAGGTTTTGAGGGATGCAAAGATTGATAAATCTAAAGTTGATGAAGTGGTGCTAGTTGGAGGATCAACTAGAATTCAGAAAGTTCAGCAATTGTTGCAGGATTTCTTCAATGGGAAGGAGCTCTGTAAAAGTATCAATCCTGATGAGGCTGTGGCTTATGGTGCAGCAGTCCAGGCAGCAATTTTGACAGGTGAAGGAGACTCCAAGGTTCAAGACCTTTTATTGCTTGATGTCACACCTCTAAGCCTTGGCCTTGAAACAGCTGGTGGGGTCATGACAGTTTTGATTCCAAGAAACACAACAATTCCTAGTAAAAAAGAGCAGATTTTTTCAACCTATTCAGATAATCAGCCTGGGGTGCTTATTCAGGTTTATGAAGGCGAAAGAGCAAGGACAAAGGATAACAATCTTTTGGGGAAGTTTGAGCTTTCTGGCATCCCTCCAGCTCCTAGAGGGGTGCCTCAAATCAATGTGGCCTTTGACATTGATGCTAATGGGATTCTAAACGTAACCGCAGAGGATAAGACTGCTGGGGTGAAGAATCAGATCACTATCACTAATGACAAGGGGAGATTGAGCAAGGAAGACATTGAGAAGATGGTGAGAGATGCGGAGAAATACAAGTCTGAAGATGAAGAGGTGAAGAAGAAAGTGGAGGCCAAGAATGCATTAGAGAATTATGCTTATAACATGAGGAATACAGTGAGGGATGAGAAGTTTGATAGCAAGTTAAAACCGGATGATAAGCAGAAAATTGAGAAAGCTGTGGAGGAAACTATTGAGTGGTTGGACAGGAATCAGTTGGCAGAAGTGGATGAACTTGAGGACAAGTTGAAGGAACTGGAGAACATTTGTAATCCTATAATTGCTCAAATGTATCAAGGAGGTGGTGGTGGTGGTGGTCCTATGGGAGATGATATGCATGGTGGTGGTGGTGGTGGTGGTGGAGGTTCTACTGATGGTACTGGAGCTGGTCCTAAGATTGAAGAGGTTGACTAAATGATGTTAATGGAGTAGCTAGAGGCTTTGCATAGATTTTTGCCTTGGGTTATTTTTTCTTTTGCTAGGGGTGAGCTTTGGTTTGTACCGTTCACTTTTAGATTGTAGTATCAGTTTCTGAATGTCCTCTCTCTTTTTCATCTTTCTTCTGCTCTTAGTTGGAGCTTGTGACCATGTAAATTGAGCAAATGGTAGTAGTAGTAGTCTAAAATTTCTGAATCTGGCTTTGGAATTGGCCACAATCTTCTTTGTCACTTGCACTTGTGCACTTGCTCTTGAGATAAATTAGATCCTAAATACAATGAATGCATGTTATGTTTGAAAAAAAAGAAATGATTGGTGCTTCCTATCTTCAGGAATTTCTGAAATATTTACATGTAACTACGTTCATAGTTTTAACTACAAATGAGAAGCTCATTTTGGTTTTTAATTGTGAGTAAGAAGTTAAATGAGAAGCTCAGCAGCACCTGTTCGAACGTATCGGTTTGATTAAGATTGTGCAAGGAGCTTTCATTCAGATTATATTTTGCCTCTACTTAAATGAATTCTTATCAATTTCAGCACCTAAACATCACAGCAGAAGCCACGAAATAATTCATACAAGATTTCTCTGACTATCACAGAATATTGAATCAATAAACGATTAGTACATGGCAAGTAACAACGAATTTCCTCAAAGATGTACAACAGAGTAACTTCTGAGAGCATAAAAATGCTGAAGATACAATAATGTCCAAGAGGAGATTTAATGTTTCTTTTATCTTACAAAAATATAAAGGAAATATTCTCTGGGGAAGCAGAAATCTAAAGGGCTACATTTAACCTCAGCATGAGAAGCACTAGAGCAAGAACAACAGTCAAGAAAATGGGAGAAGCAAAAGAACAGGCAATTTGGACAGAGATAATTCCTTGCCAGTTGCAGCTGATGATCTTGTACTACTGGCACGACCACCCGAAGTTATAAAACGCTGTCCTCTCCTGGCTTTGATTACAACACCCAGTTTCCGGATGCCAATGCTATCATGTTTGCCGATCCCAAGCTGTTTTCCCTGCTGCTGTTTTAAAGATTTATGGACAAGAACTTCATCTGGTAAATCTGAGACAGTTTGATCAAGGGCTGAGGTTAGAAAACATTGGAACAGCAAGAGCAGAGATAATACGAGGGACAGAGATACTAAGCATTTCATTTGAGCCTTTTTTTCTGAATCGGAAGAATTTGCTGGATCTTGGCCACTACTAGCTAGCCAAGTGTATTTAATCTGAGTCATGTGCTGGGTAATGATCAGGACCCTACAGGCTAAAACCAAAAGGAAGCTGCAGCAACCTTGAGGCCAATTAGCTTAGCCAAATTTGGTGGCCGGATGCTTATTTTAGGTCAGCCGCGGTACCATTGACTCGTGAGGTCGCAAGACCCAAGAAATTCAACAGCGATTAAGGGCAACAGTCAAACGATGCTAGGGAAGAAAAGAAATGTGTGAATGAGGAAACAAACAGACACCTGCAAGAAGCCCAATTTTTTTTTTTTTTTTCAATCGTCAATCCTACTTCTACTCCTGCTCTATTTAGGGGAAGACCCAATTGAACTTATGGGGGACCGATGAGGACAGAACCACCATCGGATCAGACGGGTGCACCACACATCCGTCTGAATTTTTTGAAAAATCACAATTGTGATAAATTGGTGAAAAGTAAGGTTCGAGCCTTAATCGCTTGGTGGTCTGGTTTGCAAGAAAAGCCCAATTGGGCAAGTCAAAATGTTGATATGGTCGTGGTCCTTATCTATGGGAGTGGAAAGGGCACAGAGCTTTGATAGGAGGATCCAGCAGCATTTTTTAGCAGAGTTCAATTTTTTTTGTTTTTTTTTTTTTGTCAAACAGCAGAGTTCAATTGGTGATTGTCTAAAGAAGATAGAGCTAGTTATAAGTGGATAGGGCTAGTCAAATTGTTGGGATGATTGAGATGCATTGAGCAATTGTATAATGCAAAGGAGTTAAATCCATTGAAGTCCATAGCAATTTAATAAGCTGAGGAGTATTTTTTGCAAATTCTAAAGTTATTCTTTCATACAATAACAACAAATTGCCTTCGTTGCACTCTTCTTTCAATTATCTCTTAACTTGTTTCTTTTTAAATTACATTCATGTTTTTTTTTTTAATTAATACTCGTGCTACATGAAGTATCTTCTAAAAAATAATCACAATGAGGAACAGATTTATTTCATGAATTAACCACAAAATTCTCATCCTTAATGCTAAAAAAAAAAAAAAGGATCATCTAGTGATCCATGAGACCAGAAAAAAGACTAGTACCACTACATCTGGTTATGTGATAAACAAAATCTCAATGGTATAGAACATAAACGTCAGAACATGATCTTTTACAAGGAATGTACATAATTCAGTAAAATTTGAGTGTTACATAATGAAAAATTAAAAGCTTATATATTTGTGCCAAATACTATAGGCCCAAAACTCGATGAACCTAAAAGCTTTTTCCAGGATATTCACTAACTCAATAGCTTTCAGAACTTTTTTTGTTTTTTTATAAAGGAATCCACAGTCGCTATCGGAAAGTGCGCACTGAGTAAGCTCCGCTCAGTGCAATAGTCCGCTAACCACACAGAGGGATAAGAGGCACTAGGTAAGTCCTGTGCGACGGGCGGATATTCCAAAAGAGATTCGAACCCGGGTTAATAAGAAAAAATAGCTTTTAGAACTTATGAGAGTGTAAAACTAAAAAACATAAGATAGCATAATGGAATAAATAGTTAAAAGAATAGTGCTAAGCAAATTATTCCTATTGCGTGAAAGCATTAACTTGGAATTGCAAAATGTTAGAAGGAAACCCATTGAATCTGGCATAGAGCTCTGATAAGATAAGTCGGTCCAGCATTTTTCAATAGAGTTCTATTGGTGGTGAATGTAACAAGAAGAAGATAGAGAGTTAATATGGAAACCAGGTTAGGGGGCTGACTCTGGAAGCCTAGAAAGCAGCTGCTTGTTCCTGGCTGAGATGTATTGCGTAGCTCTCTATAAATAGTCTTTCTATTATTGAATTTTAACCATCCATCAGTCTAATCTAATCTATACTCGCTATATAAGTACCATGAATCTTGATAGTTAAGATTGCAAGCGAAATCCGATCATAGTTTTATGAAGCTCAAATTACTCAACTCTCTAATAATCAAATAATTTGCATTGCATTACAATAACAATCGATATCAATCATGCTAAAATTTACTTTCGAAACATCCCTTTGAGAAATGGTGAATTAAACCAAGAAATAAGAATATGAATATCATGTACAAAATGTCCAAATTTAAAGGGTACTTCAAACGGAAATAAAATTGCAATATTGGTACCAAAAGTCTCCATAAAAGTGCTATAAGTATTAAGAGCATCAAAGTTAGAATCAAAGAGTTAGACAGAGAGTTTTAGGCTGGGAAGTTTTTTCCATTTATTTGCCACAGTAATTTAAATATAACGTACATTACAATGGTTAGCTGTGGAATTGCTGACACCATCAAAACACAATCAGTGGATCTTGGCTGTGGTGGATCTTGGCGAGTTGGATGGGGCTCTTTAAAAACAACCCATGGTTTAAGAGTACAAATAAAATCTGATATTGATATTTGGGATGTTCAAACTATATATAATAATCGATATCAATCAATGTCAACCATGTTAACATTTTAAAAAATGAAAAATCCATTTGATCTATGATAAATTAAGCGAAAAAAGAAGAAGAAGAAGAACAAATTTTCTGGATACAAATATCAATAAGAGAGAAAATTTATTGTATTTCTAAATATTATTATTTTAATATCTACATTTGTTGATTTTTTTTTTTTTTACTAGCGGCACATCTAGTCTAGTCTAACCTAGACCTACTCCTAAGAGGGGGGGACTTACTTTAAGGGAAGCGACTCTAGGGAGTGGGTCAATTGAGTCGGGGGAATCTGACGGGGACTTAACCACCATCTGACCAGACGGATGCACCACTCACCCACATGGATTTAGAGTACTCCTCATATTGAGGCACGTTGATGGGAGGCAAGATTTGAACCCTTGACCTCCCACCCCACTATATACATTTGTTGATTCAGTATCTCTACTTGTTGTGCTATTTTCATACACTATACGGTGCAATTATTTTTAAAATCTATGCTTGCAATTCAAAAGAACATTTCGACATCTCATCTTCTGGTGCAGAAATTTGACCTTCTTACTTCATCTCGGATTTGCTAACAAATGGAGAAATTTTGACATAAAAAAGAGCAACATGTTTCAATATAATGTTTTTCCCTAAGCAAATGGAACACTAGTCCTTATTAGCGTGCTAAAGATTCCCCCCCTCGAGCTGTAGCACAAAAATTGAAGCAAAACACTACCTTGTATTTCTAAGGCAATTTCAAAAATAAAACCATTCCATTACACTTGGCTTTTATAGTTCACGCAACCTAGTCAAAATTCATAGGCTTGTAGTAAATAGTAGTGTCAAGCGTTTCTCCCTGACATACGCTGTAGGTAGATCTTCCTTCTTGAATCGATGTTCCAAGTTACCATCAAGTTTTTTTTTTCGAATTTCTACTACTATAGAGATCTCCACAGCCTTGTTGCTAGGAACAATATCAGCTGAAATTATAATCAGACGGTAAAACATGCAACCGGCAAGAACCATCCATCTCCCTTTGGAAACGGTTCCATGTTGAAGACAAGTAGTACCACTAATGACTTCACCAAAAACTGTCATTCCCCACCTCAAGAAAAAGGTTCTGTGTAGGTATGAGATTCAGGTTGTCAAGCAAACCCTTCAGTGATTAACAAGCATGCAGGTGGAGCACGCCCATCAGAACAAAACCCTGCAGCTCCTTCTGCCAAACATGTCAATTAATTTGGTACCCAACAGCAGATGCATCGATAAAAAAGACTTCCAACAACAGAAAATCTACAAGGTATGGCAAGAAAGACAATAAAAAAAGCAAGATATGCTACAGCATCCTCCTTTAAAATGGTGCAGCGATTTTCAACAGTCACATTATAAGCTCACAAGTTTCGCAAAAATTTAAATTAACTAGTCAACAAAATCAAAATAAATAAAAAAACTAATGAAATACAAAACAGCTGGGTCCCGTAAAAGGCCCTTAATCTCAAGCTGCTAGGGCATATGATTGGCCACACTTGAGACCAAAATCCTTATGTCTGATTCTTTCTCCTTTAATGAACACACTACCATGTCCTCGGGAAAATATACAGCTCACTTAAAATAACCTGTTCTCCCGCAGCTCCACCTTGTCTTCAAGTTGAAATACAGTTGCTCA